CTAGACATTGCTAAAGAGAAGCGTATGGAAATGGTGAACTTGGGAAGTTTACATGGAGAAGAGCATTGTGGCTGTACTGCTCGGGGAGGACCGGCGCCGGGACTGGGAGTTGGATGGAGCTCTAGAGTTCCTGGAGGTGGATTTTGCTCCTCAAAGCTGCTAGTCGCTCGGGTTTACGCCAGTGGCATTCTACGTCTTCTAGAACTCGAAAAAGGCTCGAGCTCGATCTCCCTGAAGACCAAGCTCAACTTGACGGCTCTACTCACCGAGCCATCGTCGCTGGAGCGAGCGTTATCGCGGCACATACTTTCGGAGGAACGGTGGCTGTTGACACTCGACGACGCAGTGAAACGTATAAACCAGGGGAAGGGATTGTATGATACGACGCAGTTTAAAGGTGGCAGAGAGTTTCTACTCCAGCACTTCACCAAGTTTTGGCTACAAAAGAAGCAGCCAAAGCAGCACGACCTCAAGAAGAAACTTGAGACCATCAAGGAGGAAGAAACGGAGGAAGAAGACGAGGAGAAAACGGCTAACTCGACTGTTTTGCTGCGGGAGTGGAAAGGGACGAGGCTTCCATTGCCTTGCCACTGGATCCTCAGTCCTTTGCACTCCAAAAGCTCAGACGTGACACTGGCTGGACTGTTGCTGCTCTTGGGCCTCGAGGAAGGAGGAGCAGCAAGCGACATACCGATCGTCCGCAAAGTGCATGCTCTATCAACAGTATTTGCTGCGGGAGATACGTTCTTGGAGGAGCCAGTGAGTGACGCTCTCGGATCACTGCAAGATATCTATTTCGAAGAAGCAAGAGGAGCTCTGGATTTTCAGAGTGGTGTGGATGCCGACTACGCTTTGTTCGCGGAGGGACTGGCACAGAACTTTGCGGCTGCTTCGTATGGGGACTTGAGATTTGGCCGCCAGGTAGCGTTCTACTTGCGAAGTGGCACGGACGTGTCGATCCACGGTGCTGTCTGGCGATGCCTCGCTCAAGCTGAGGTGCTGAGTTTACTTCCTCCAGTCGAAGAGTGCGGACCGGGAGTTTACTTCGATCCTCCTCAGGTAAGAAGAAAAGCATTCTTTGGAAGTTTAAGTTGCTCATTCTTTGTTTTTTCAATGCAGAGGAGCATTCCTCTACTGGACATGTTTGTATCGTCGTGGATCACCGGTGGATTGGACCGAGCATTTCTTCGCAAGGCATTACCATTCCGCCTCGCGCTCCACCACGTCGCGCACTTCGTTCTCAACGCCGGTGACGACGAGACGCTGCTGCTACACAGGCAAAAGTTCGCTCGAAGCATTTCTAGAGCTTCCAGACGCAACCGCGAATCCAAGGTTTGATGTGAAATCTTTGCAAAGCTAGAAACTCACTTGTGGTAAACAGGAAATGCTCCGAGAACTCCTGCACTATTTTCCAGACAAGCTCGAACAAAGCCAGCGGTTTCTCAAGGAGGCGGGCGGTGGCGAAGTTTAAAGTCTCCCAGCATATCCTCGGAATCCATTCATACCAGATGAATTAGCTCGACTTCCTCGACGACGAGCAGCGGCCTCCATTTGCAAAGGATCAAAAGAGCAGGGACACTACGGGGAAGTGACAGGGGAAAATGGATTGAAATGCGGAGTGGTCTCGAAGGTGGATGGTTAAGCTTTCTATCCGAGAGCTACTTCCGCGACGAAGAACAGGACAAAACCTTTGTGGACTTCTCTCCGGACAATGTGTGCTCTGGACGGGTGGATTTTCACGGTCGTTTTCTCGCCCCTTACGAGCCTCAGGATGAGTCGCAGAGGCTTCCTAGCCTTATCTTGCAAACTCCCACAAACGCTAGATAAAGTTGGCGACACTATGTGCAAGTGTTAAAATAGTATATTTTATATAACATTGATTTATCGTGACCTTCATTGGCTCGGGCTACCGCAGATCCGTAGCTAAGTTCAGGCTCTGCGTTGCTGCTCCTCTCTTTGATTGCTCCAGAGTTGGGAATTCAGATTACTCTAGCATAATCATGGGCTGCTTTGAAAGGTACACAGAATCATTCAACGCATGAAATAATCTTTCGTAGACATTTCGAAGTTCTTAGAGGAGAGTTTCTATGATCAAGCATTGAGTTTTTGACACTTAAATAATCACTAGATTCTGTATCACACCTAATCACACTGCTGCAGTGCCCCCCTTGCAACAATGCAAGGCTGCAGCATCTCAAACCCCTCCAATCTTTCTCAACATTGAAGAAGAAGAAAACAATTTAAAAACAAGAAGAAGAAGAAAAAGAAGAAAGTATAAGAAAGTCGAAAAAGAGTAGAAGTCTATGAAGAAAAAGTGCTTGATTATATAAGATACCATTTAAAATGGATTTTGCTTGTATAAAATTGGAGTATAGAGAAGTACTCGCACAATAAAGCCCAGAAAAGCTTACCACATACATACCAGGTGGCCTCTGAATACATACGTTACGTTTAAAAGACCCACAGGAAGCGTGTCTCAAATGGTAATTGCAAGCAAAAGACCCACAGGAAGCGTGTCTCAAATGGTAATTGCAAGCGTCAACCAGGTGGAAACGCAAACGGCGCTCTTTCTTTCTCTCCAAGCTATTTAATCTCGTCTCAAATGGTAATTGCGAGCATCAACCAAGTGCAAACACAAAGGGACACGACCTGGCATTCTTTCTTTCTCTCCAAGGGGACACAATCTTTCTTTCTCTCCAAGGCTTTGAGAGAAAGAAAGAGAGTGTCCATGTCCTTTTGTGTTTGCACCTGGCTGACGCTCGCAATTTCTCAAATGGTAATTGCGTACGTTAATAATAAGGTGCAAACACAAGGGACACGACCCCACCCAGTGCTCTTTCTTTCTTCCTAAGCTATTTAATCCCATCTCAAATGGCAATTGTGAGAATGGTGCTCTTTCTTTCTCTTCAAGCTATTTAATCTCTAGCTCTTGTGCATTGCATCGAAGCTCTTCCTTGACGACGAGCGGCACAATCAAGACACATTAAGGTGTTTAAAGGTGGATGTTTGCGCTCGTGAAACAGCGTCACATATTTCCAAACAACTTTCACTCGTCCCTTTGCAAACGAGCCAACAAACACTCAATACCAGTGTAATCTCGGATCCATACTTCTTCGTTTGTTGAAAATGAGAAAAATTGATTAGAGTTCTCCTAGGTCTTTGCTCGAGGGGCAATGTAAGGCTGCAGCTACTGCTAACATCTCAAATCCCTAAGCAAATTCTCAACAAGAAAACTATCTAAAAACGGAAATGGATTCCAACCTTTTTAGATTTTTTGTGCTTCCGTTCAAAAAAGGCTTTCTCTCTCCTAAGAAGCTATTTCTAAGCAAAAACGATCCCTCTTCTCTTTTCTTCTAGCAGGCGCCACCGTCCGAATCTGTCAGGTCGCTCAGGAGATTCAGCGCCTTGCATGTGGATCACAAGTATCTTTCTCTCTCGATCGTTTTATTTTCGTTTTGACATAGCAATCGTTCTTTCCGCGAGCGATGGGGGGACTTCGACAAGTTGTATGTTGATTTCCCAGCTATGAATTCTACCCGGAGCGATGCCGCCATTACTCAAGAATATCGCCGAGATAGTCGAGCTCGTAGGCCGCCACGGCCCGGTCGACGATTCCAATGTTTTCAACTGGTAAGAAGAAATTCACCTCGAGGAGGCAACGCCGCCTCTGGCGCTTCCCCCGCTGTCGCACCGCAGCTTTTGAGCCGGACATGGGTAAATCACCTCGTTACTACACTGCAATGGATCATATTCTCTTCTTTCTTCTGATCAATCCCATCGGTCTTTCATTCTCTGCGAGAACAAATAAGAGAGCCTTTTCTTCTTCGTAGCTATACTGTTCTTTTCTTCCAATCCTGTTCTAAAAACGGGCCACTTATGTGCAGGGTTTATGTACGAAGAACGCGCGGAATCGCCCTAGCAGCCTCCATCTTATTAGCATAGGTGAAAGTCCACATTAGCGTTCTAAAGGCGATCCGGCTTTGGGCATGGAGTTCGTCGTTGATGGTGGCGCTGGCGGTCGATCTTGACATCGATAGCAGCACGGTGATTTGCTTCCAAAGATGTTGATGATCTACATGCGTTTGATCGTGCAGAGAAATGGGAACTGGATAGGAACGTTTCTGGTCAAGACCAGGCAGCTTCCTGGCCAAAGATCTAGGCAGGCACCGCTGGCTGGGGCTGTGAGCTTATATTGTTGTGGTTTCCTCTCAAGGCAATCAAGTGCTTAGACTGTGCTCTACTTGGACAGCATTGACTCAAGCAAAGATCTCTCTCCTGGTGGAGACATGAGCTTTCACGTATCTATTTATATTTATCTATCTTCTGTTTCTAGTCTTGCAGTGCCCATTGAGAAGCATGAGACCTTATGCTTTGTATCACCATGGTCGCTGCTACGAGCAAACATTACTTACTTACGAGCTAGAATCTGCCGCTGCATTTCCAGCTACTTAATTCTTGCAAAATACAGGTTGAGACTGATGAAACAAAGTACATGGGAATCTGGTTCAATTCCAACCCGTGGAGATCATGGTGGGAAGTCAAATGGGACAGCTAAATGAAGGTTAATAGACTGTACAAAAGTGCTTTAGCACTTGCAATGCCAGGAGATTTTTACCAAGTTGATCAATGCATCACCACCTACAGCAATCAACTCTCATGCATGGGTTGGTAGGAGCATGGCTGTTAAGCACCAAATCAAGATAATAGAATAAGACAAAGGCCTACAAACAAATGATTACCTCTTTAGCAAGTTAGGTTAAGGTGTAAGAGATAAGAATTTGCTGATGAATAAGGCAAGAATATTCTTATATGTGCCATTCAATTCTCGTGGCTAATGAATAAGGGCCTCAGTTGGCCCCTTTATCCTAATATAGAGCAATGTGTTGCTAAGATTAATGACGTGATCACTGCGGAAAATACTCAGCTCAAGAATCTCTTCTTCAGTTTCATTCATTAGTTTTTTTTCCAGCGTCACGATGTGAGATGATTGTGAAATTGCCATGGTTGACAATGGCCTCCCCTTAGGTCCTTCTTTGGAAACTCTGGACCATACCCTGGGATATCATCCAGGAGTTCTAACTGGGACTTTAAATTGTTCCCCAAGATCTTTTTGGGTCCGCTGTAAGTTCTTGGTATTTTTTTTCTTTTTCTTACTGCTCCTGAAAATCTCATCACACCCAACCAAACTACAGCAGAGCATGTTGCTAACTCTCAAAAATCTTTCTCAACATTAACATTGGAGAAGGAAAACAATTTGAAAATAACAAGAAGAACACTTTTACTCAAAAGAGTAAAAAAAAGCCTCAGAGTAAGTGACACGAATAAATTGATTTTCCCAAATATCAGGTGAAATACACAATAGGGACACGAACCGCCTAGCTATTTTTCTAGCGCCTTTCTGTCTCTCCTCTCTCTCTCTCTCTCTCTCTCCCCCAAGAATCGCATCGCCGATCACATTTTTGCAAGCAGATTCTGGAGCTTAAGGCATTGCACAAAGAACACCGAATTCGAAGTCGATCTGTCCATTTTTTGCTTTTGTTTGCTGCTTGACTGACACAGCAATCGTTCTTTCGCAAGGTCAAAGGGAAAACAACGATCTCGTGGCATCTCCGGCGAGGCCCCCGCATGAGAGGTGGCTGCCGAACAGAGAGCAGCTGGCCGTCCTGGAGGATCTTTACTCGAAAGGGACGATGCCATCTCAGGAGAACATCGCAGAGGCCGTCTCTCTCGTCGGCCATGATCACGGCCCGGTCTCTGAGTCCAAAGTCTACTTCTGGTTCCAGAACAAGAAGGCCCGCGAGAGACGGCAGCGCCGCCGCATCGAGGAGGCCAACGCCGCCTCCGGCGCATGCGCCTCCGCCATCGCCACCACCGCCGCTGCGTCAGCTTCATCCGGTAAATCCAGTGCAGAGGAAGAATCCATGAATCATATCATATCCATCGGTTTTTCATTTCCAGCCCTCCTTGCGAGGAATAAAAAAGAGAGGAGGAAAAAAATGAGAGGATTTTCTTTTCTTGTTCTGATAGATCGTTAGAGCTGCCGTAGCTATAGTTAACTGGGGAAGATCTTTGCGTTCTTTCTTTCTTCCAATCCCTGTTCTATAACATTTTCTTCTGTGCAGGATCTGGCCCGGAGTCGTCTCTCATAACGCTCCGAAATGTTGGCGATGGCGTGGCGCCAGCGATTGTCCCACCAACGAGCGCGGCACTCTGGAGTGCAGTCTCGTAAGGAAGATGGAAAGCCATCCTCTTCTCTGTTTTTTTCTTTCTCATTCTTCGTCTTGGGTGTAGGAACATTTCAACGACAGAATGAAATCCCCGTCCCGCAAGACCAACCCTTCGATCGCGCAATTTGAGGCTATGAATCATGTACGCAAATCTTTTTATCTTTCCAAGTAAAACCAAATTTCCTCTCAAGATCGGCGTTCGTTAGGCTATCCGGCTCAGGCCATGGAGTTCGTCTTCGATGGTGGCGCTGCACATCAATAACATGAGCACTGCCAAGGCGGCAATTTACTTCCAAAGGTGCTGATGATTTGCATGCGTTTGCTTGCGCTGCCTGGATATGGGAATCATGATCGAGACGTCCTTCTGGTGCATCTCAGGCTTTCAAGTAAACTTCCATTGAATTTGAAGTGCTGCTGACGAGCTGAAGGATGACCTTGAGGCCAATTGCCTCACTCACAGATTCCGTGAGTACTCCAAAGGATTCACTGTTTTGCTTCTTTACAAGGAGAGATCCGTTCAAGGTGGTTGCATGGCCTTGAGACTGACATTCTGGGGGAAATCTGAGGAACATAGATGTTGCGGTGCTAATGAAAAATCCATGGTGTAGATTGAGTTTCAAACCAAAACCTCAATCAGTGAGGAGACGTAACATCTTCTATGGCAGACAGAGGATCCTGCAGGTGAATTACTGACAAGAATCATTTTTGGTCAGTCGGAGTAAGTCCAAGACGTGGTGTGGTTGAAGCACTGCATCTCTGCATGGTTATATGCACTTATTGTAATCTCACTTTCTACGTACAGCACCCGGTCAATTCTCGACGCAGGTAGGCTGTTCATCAAAGAACCATCTCATATTTTCTGATTATCTTTTTTCCTTTTGCAGTTATATTCCTCCCCTCTACTTCTCTGACAGATGGTCTCGTTCCAGACTAAGGCACGGAGTTCGATACAACGACACAGTTGTCTCCGAGCGGTTTTTTCTCTTTTGAAAGTTTTTGCTCCAGCTTCTCGTGCTGTGGAATGGCTTGGCCATGGGTACGTTTAAGCTGACGACACTCTCGAACTCTTCGAGTTTCTCATAGTCATGAATACATGTGTTATTTGACGCTGCTGTCGGACTCTTCGTCGGCAACGGTCATCGCTGCGCGAGCGGCGGATCGTTGTCCCCCGCCCTTTTAACTAGATCGGCCCACCTGCGAGGGAAAGCAGCAAAGCTAGTCGAATTAAAGTCTTGCAAAAGGAGGAAGCCAGAAAGCAACTGCACGGTGGACATGTATACGTAAAGTGTGCCATATCCAGAGCTCGCCAAGCTTCCCACACATCGAACAAATTCTCGTCGCTGTGGAGCACAAACAATCTGTCGTCACTAACGTCAATGTCCGCGATGCCGCCACTGCCGCCGCCTCCTCCTCCGCCACTGACGCTGAGCCTGGCGGTGGCGGGCAGCAGCGGCCGCTCGCGGAGGCGGCGGACGACAGCGCTACCGCCGAGCACGAATGCACCACCACCGCCTCCTCCCGTGTCGAAAAGAGCTGCAAATTCTATGAGCTGGGATCGCTGGCGTTGATCCGGAGCTTGGAATACAGATGCTCTTCCATCTCGGACCGCTTGATCCGCTGGAACATGTGGCTCCAACACGCCGGGGCGAAAGCGGCGCCGCTACCACCCCCGCCACCACCGCCCATCCCGATGAAGTACTCTGGGTCGCAGCTGGCGCCATGCTTGCAAGATTATCGCGGGATTTCGAGAGGCCAAGCGATGAAAGCTTCTCGCTTGGCCTCTCGCTAGCTCATTCCCGTGTGGTGGAAAGCTTCAAGTCCATAGCCGAAGGTCATATCATTCAATTGTTCAAGGCATGGAGAATCTCAGCTTTAAAGACTTGGAGGATGTCTCTTGCAAGTGGTCGAGAGACACTGATTCATCTGTCATCTCCGTCAAGTACAAGCAGAAGGAGGTGGTTCTCAAGGTAAGGGACTTGACTACGGTTTCCAACGCTGAGACGGGTGGACGCGTACAGGACGCTCCACAAATGCAGGGCCACAAATGATACCACGCCTCGTCTCGTGGGGTTTCTTGTGTGGGACAATGTTCGCCTACGTGATGAAGGTAAACCTCACGGTAGCTACTTCACGTTCGGCGTGCGAGACGTGCAAGCAGCACTTGCTCCTGCCCATGAAGCTCTTGCCAAGATTCACGCCAGGGGTCTCATCCTCTCAAGATCCTCCTCGGAAGCAGAAGCCGCGACAGCAGCAGCCTTAAGATCATTGGCTTCTCCTGCCTCCCGTTAAACACCTCTCTCTCCGCTTACCTGGCGGTGACGTGGCATCAGGCCTTTTTTTTGTTTTTTCTCCAGCGCACTCCCTCTCCCGTCCGTCGCCGCTGCGCACTCCCGCGCTCGCCCTCACGGCTCCCGCCCGCACTCCCACCCGCACGTCCGCTGCGCCCAGCGTGCGCCCTAATAACTTCCACGTGGCCACAGCCTCCTAAAAACGTTTTCATTCACTTGCCCTATAATTGACCTAAAAACGTTTCTGTTTCTTTTATGATCAAGCATAGCAGCAACATATCAATTTCTAGAGGTAAGCAATTAATTCAACTTCATATTGAGTCAAGAAAATCATTTAGAATCCCCCTTGGCTTGATAAGGTGCAAGAATTCCATGAAAATGATTATTTTTGTGTAGATGATTTAAATTGCAAACATGTTTTTTTTCAGACAAGAGTATAACTTTCATATTTGCATGGAATCTCTCAATCAAATTCTTTATCTCTCAAGCTATACTCTTGTTTGAGAAAAACATACTCACAAATCTAAATCATCTGCATAAAAATAATCCTTTTCATAGAATTCTTGCACTTCATCAAGCCATGAAAGATTTTAAATGATTTTCTTGAATCAATATGAAGTTAAATTGATTGCTTACCTCTTATGCTGCTGCCATGCTTGATCATAAAAGAAATAGAAATGTTTTTGGGTCATTTATGGGGCAACTATCCCTTGTGAATGGAAACGTTTTTAGTTCAATTATGGGTGGACATGGAAGTTATTACTGGGCATAGGCGGACGTGCGGGGGCAGGCGGGAGCCGTGAGGGTGAGCAGGCGGGCGGGAGTGCGCAGTGGCGACGGACGGGAGAGGGAGTGCGCTGGAGAAAAAACAAAAAGAAGGCCTGATGCCACGTCATTGCCAAATAACCGGAGAGAGAGTGAATCAGGATGGTGTTTAACGGGAGGCTCAACAAGGTGGACAGACTCGGCACGGAGCTCAAGCTCTCGCCGCTCGAGGCCTACCCGAGGTGAAGGGCATTGTCAGTGGCTTTCGATCCGAGAGCTACTTCTTCCGTGACGAGGAACAGCACGAAGAAGAGGAAACTTCGGTTTTGTGCAGACTTCTCTCCGGTGGCTGGGGATGGGAACTGCGATTGCTCTAGACTGGTCGTTGCTGGCTAGAGAATCTACGTGCTCTCGGATGTCTACGATCCAACTGTGGCTACGGACAAGCGGAGCTTTGAGGTGGCGACTGTCACTGCATGATCGGCACAATGCAGCGGCTGGAAACGTGGTGGCGATGGACTCAAGACGGCGACCACTCACGGGCTTAAGTTGCGAGACGGCTCCGATAGTGAGGGTGGCGGTGGAGCCGTCGAATCCTGCGAACTTGGCATAGTTCTCAACCGTGCCGATCCCATGGTCCGGGTGACTTTCTGAAGCACTGGCGAGTACGGCCGACAGCGGCGAAGTTTATCTCGAGCTCTGCGCAAAGGAGCTCAGGGAGCTCGCGTGACCATTGAAGTCTCGGCTCCTCTGGTAGCATCCCGGGAGACCTCTGGTAGCACTAGGCTCGACCACACGACAGTGTGATCACGAGCGAGCGATCGGAGAAAGAAGAACAGGAAGAAGGAATGCGTAAGCTTCACCACTCGAAACCGCAGGTACATAGGAAGTGTTGAGGTTTGGAGGCTGCCAAGCTCGGTGCTGGAAGCCATCGAGAGCTCGCCTCGTCAAAACCGGCAAGGAGACTTGCTGCTCCGAGGCTTTAGCAGCTCACCTTCTCTCGCGAATCGAGCAACAAAGAGGGAGCTCCTGGGCATCTGGAGCCAATCTCCTCGTTTCATCGCTGCCTTGATGACTTGTCCCAAGCTTTCCAAGCTCTCACACCACATGGCTAGCATTGCTGCACATCGCCAGCTTCACAGTGGTCTTCCACAGCTTTGCCGGAGGTCCGCGCCTTGAAGTGGCGAAAAAAACTCCCACAAGGCTCCTTGTTCCTGGGACAAATATATGGAGTTGGCGAGGGAGGGACGAAGAACAAGGAGGAGGATTTGCAAAGAGGCGAAGCAATGCCAAGGAAGCGCGATTTGATCAATAAGCAGAATGATGAGCTTTTGATGAGTTCCCTCATTTTTTCATCTCAATCTCACCTAATGTTGTGTTTTTGTGTTTCCAGGTGGGCAAACATGTCCAGCATGTGAAAGCCTTGATCGCCCAGCTGCAGCAGAGCATTGTGCTCGACGAGGACGACGACAGTGAGGCCCCGAGGACAAGCTTATGAGCTATGCCAACGAGCTTTTCGTTTAACGGCTTGTGGCCTCTCGTCCATCTCCAAGATGTGTATGCTTTCCCAGCTTGCAGCACGCCACACTTGGTGCACTGCGCGGCTTTCCGTGGTGTTCGATCCGGGTGACAAGGTAAGCTGTTTTCGTTCTCTTTGCTTTCAAGGAGAAGTGGTTTACGTGATAGGATGGCAGGAGCTGGTTTATACTACTAGATGGAGCTGGAGCTACAGCGGTGGAGAAAGGAAGAATGCACGGATTTTCAAAGCAGTTAGACAAGAGGTATAGAGAAGCGGTTGTTTCTTGGTGTCTGATTTGTTTACAGGTAGCAGCATTCGGCACGTTAGTGAGTTCTAAAGCAGCTTGACGTAGCCAAACACGAACAGCGCCAGCAGCGTCACGCCCACGGATGCCTTGAGTGCCATAAACACTTCCGAGAAAAGAAGTCCGTGTCTGATTTTGTTTACAGGTAGCAGCATTCGGCACAATAGTGAGCTAAGCTCGAGGCATAGAGATCTCTGACTTTGTTTAGAGGTAGCAGCATTAGGCACGTAAATGGAGGAGGAACAGGCATCATATAGGGAGATATGCACTCGGAGTGGTTTTCTTCGTGTTTCACATTGTATTCGACAGTAGGGAGAGTCAAAAGTTAGCAGCAGCAGAGAAGCAGCTAGGAATAGCAGTAGAGAAGCAGCAAAGTTCAGCTAGGAGCAGCAGATTTTCATGGAACGGCAGAGGTAGAGCAGCAAAGTTCAGGTAGCGGCAGACTTTCAACCCATGCTATCTGTCTGCCTACTCTTGGACTGCTCTGAAAGCAAGGAGGTGAAAAGAAAGTTTTCAGGCTCGGGATAGCAAACAAAATAGAGCGCTCAGGAAGAAGGAAGACTAGCAGAAAGGAGCGTAGTGTAAGACAGTCTAGAGGAAGAACAGACTAGGTGAAGAATCAAGAGTTAGATTCATTCAGGACGAAGTGATGCGACGTCAGGATATCCTCGAATAATCATCGCCACGTCAGCAGACCACCATTTTGTCTACGAATTAGCAGACCACCATTTTGTCTACGAATTTGCGTTTGCCATGAACGCCAATGCTTGAGCACTGTTACATTTATCATCGGGTTCCAACAGAGAATCAAACACATTCTTTCCTGTTCCAGCGTCTTTCCAGCGCTGGCACGCGCTCAAGACCGTCATCCGCGCAACACGATCGGCCTTGAGGAGGGGCATAGCCTCGAGAAGCTCCACTGCTTCGCGCAGTCTCGAGGCTCGGCCAAACAGATCGATCAGGCACGAGTAGTGCTGGACGCTCGGGGCGATGCCAAACTCGGCCATGGCCTGGAAACACTCCCGCCCCCTGTCGATCTCTCCGGCGTGGCTGCAAGCCGAGAGAATGGAGAAGAAAGTGATGGCGTCAGCTCGCAAGCTCTCGTCCCTCGTCCTCTGGAACAGCGACAATGCCTGGTCGATCTCTCCGGATCGAGAGTAGCCCCCGATCACTGCGTTCCACTGCTTCACGTCCCTTGGCGAGCTCCAGTCAAAAACTCGCCGCCCAGCAGCCATGTCTCCACAGTTCCCGTAAAAATCCACCAGCGCGGTTGCCACCACCGGATCGCTCTCCACTCCACTCCTGTAAACTCGAGCCTCGACGCGCTTCCCACTTTCCAGTGCCACCAAGTCGCCGCAAGCCACAAGCGCAGCCACGTAAGTTCTAGCGTTTGCCGCGACGTCCATGCCGGAGAAGAACAGCTCTAAGGCTAGCGCTGCTCTGCCATTCCCGGCGTATCCCAGAATCATGGAAGTCCACGACACCACGTCCCTGCGCGGCATGCTGCGGAAAACCTCCGTGGCACGCTCCAGGCTCCCACACTTTGCGTACATGTCAACCAGAGCGTTCCCCACGAATATGTCCGACTTGTCAAACCCCGAGTTTGATGCTTCGAAGTGTAAAGCCATCCCCTGTTCCAGATACTTGGCCTTCATTCCATCTGATAATAATGGTTCTGCTTTCTCTGCTTTGACTCCCAAGTTTGCACAAGCCGTCAATACCGCACTGAGAGTCCGAGGATCTCCTTTGTGACCCTGTTCTTGCATTACTGCAAACAGTCCAAGTGCTGAGTCGCTTTCCCCGTTTTCAACATGTCCCAGAAGCATTGCGTTCCACAGGAAAGTGTCCCGGTGTGCCACGTTGTCGAATATCAGTCGAGCACCACCGCTGCTCCCACACTTTGAATATGCACGAACTGCTGCCGTGTTGACGTAGATATCCTGCCCGAATCCACTGCTTACAGCTTCCTGGTAGACCATCCTGGTTTTGTCCAAGCACTCGAGCGTCACCAAGCTCCCACTGGACTCCCGGAGTTTTTCAGCCGCTGCCAAACTCGAGCAAGCCAAAAGCGCGGCGACGTAGCACCTGGAATCCGGTTTACATCCTGCCAGCTTCATGCGAGCGTAGAGCTGTAAAGCCACCACTGGCTCACCGTTCTCGGCATATCCCTGTGTCAGCGTAGTCCACGATACCACATCATGAAGCTTCATCCCATCGAAAACCCGCCGAGCTCTAATCATGCTGCCACACTTGACGTACATGTCGAGCAAAGTGTTCCCAACGAAAACGTCTGAGTCACAGCCACTGCTTGATGCTCGTGAGTGAATCGCCATCCCAACTGCAAGACTTTCGGCCTTCACAAGAGACCCGTCGACTAGCTTAGCTTCTTCCTTATCTGCCAGTCTAGAACACCCCGTCAGAGCCGAGGAGAAAGTCCGGGCATTCCCAATGCAGCCCCTCGAGTGCATAAGTTCAAACAGCTCCAAAGCGGTCTCACACTGTTCGTTGTCGACATGTCCGAGCACCAAAGCTGTCCAAGAAACAACGTCATGACTTGGCATCATCTCGAAAACCAAACGAGCATCCTCCAATCTCCCACACTTGGCTAAAGTATCAACCAATGTGTTCGCCACAAAGATGTCTAGTTGCCTCGAATCTATGGCCTCACAGTGGCAAACCTTGGCCACCTTCACGTACTCCACCTTCTTCGCATTTCCTTCTTTGGTTGCTAGACTCGAGCAAGCCTTGAGAGCTGTGACGAAAGTTCTACCATCTGGAAGACACCCCTCCTGTTCCATTCTTCCAAGCAATACCAGAGCTTGCCGGCTCTCCCCATTCTCGACGTATCCCTGAAGTAGCGCATTCCAGGACACCACATCCGGGACTTCCAGTGACTCGAAAACGCTGCGAGCATCGGCCAAGCTCCCACACCTGGCGTACACTCGAATCAGCGTGTTGGCGACGAGGATGTTGGAGCAAAGACCCTTCTCAACCGCATCAATGTGATGCCTCTTGCAGCTCCGCAGGTCCCTGGAATCCTTCAAGGCCGAGATCAAGGCGGCGACATCGAAATCCCTGCCAGCCTTGCAAAATCCCGCCGATACCCCTCTCAGCTTGCAAAATCTGGCGCCGATTCGCTTGCATTGCCGCGCGCGCGCACGGCGGATCATCAAGATCCATGCGCGTGTCAAAGAACCGCCGCCTTACCTCGAAAGATCACGAGCGCCAGTGGATGGGACTCCTAATCGATGATCCCGGCGACGATCGTTCTGCATTGCCACGCGCGCTCGCAAGGGAGAACATAAACCCTACCTGGCCTTGTACGGCAAACTGCCAAGATTCTTTCCACCAGGAAAAGGCCACGATCCTACGGTGACGCAACAAAATGCCAAAGATCCAACGGTGACTCAACGATAGATAACTGATAGATGGATCGTTTGGCATGCACACACAAACGGCAGGGGGTGGACTTTTAAAGGGAATGGTATCAAAAAACGGTCCTGGGAATATACCCATGGCCACCTAGAATAGGCGCTTTCCCCTTCCCAAAATATTTTCCACGCGATCGCGAGAGAACGATCGCCTCGATGCTTGGCCCTCCGATGGATATTTTCCACGCGATCGCGAGAGATCGATCGCTTCGATGCTTGGCGCTCCGATGGATGTGTGTGATCTGGATCGCGATAGCTTCTTGTAGGTGCAAGATTTTGCCAGGATCGTCGCTCGCTTCATGGAGATCCTTCCAATTGCTTTGGATGCAAGCGTCCCTGGACAAGATGCGTGAAGGAATCTCCAAGAAGATCACTTTCTTGGGGCCCTGTGTGTGTGTGTGATCGTCCCGCTAGCGTAGAATAAATCGCGCCAGGAAGCAATACGATCGCTGTAGCTCGCTGGCTCCCTCGCTCTACGATGACAGAATCATCGAGCAGTAGCAGCGGCGGCCATCGGCGGGGATTCTTGCGCAAGATCATCGTCCTGAGGCCGCTCATCCATCTCATCTTCGCCACGCTCCTCCACATCATGGCGACGATGATGGTGATCCCGGCGCTCACGGATGTTCTTCTTGGAGCGCTCTGCCCCGGCCAGGCCGAATGCAACGAAGCGATCTACTTGACCGGCATCCAGCAAATCGTTGAGCTCTTCCCTCTATACATTTTCTTGAAACTAGGGTTCTAAGCTCTCGCATTCTTGCCATGGATCTTCTCGCAGGTCGCGGGGATTGGGACGATGCTGGTGACGCCGATTCTCGGCGAGCTCTCGGACGAGTATGGCCGCAAGCCGCTGCTGATGATTCCATTCTCCGCCGCTGTTCTTCCCATGGGTGAGTCCGATCGATCGATCGCGCTTGCTCACTCTTTTCTTACATGGACGAAGCGATACTCGCCTATAGCCAATCCAGGCCGTTCGTTTACGCCTACATGGTCGTGGGAACAGTGGTTAGGATCTTCGCCGAGGGTGGCATTACATGCCTCTCTTTTGCGTATGTGGTGAGTTTCTACTTAGTGCTTTGCTTGCCTCCAAAGCGTCCATGATTTTGACATTTGTTTCTTTTTCCTTTTTTCCAGAGCGACTGTATCGAGCGACGCTACCGAGCTCTTGCCATTGGCGTGCTCATGGGATCGTTTTCAGTCGGTTATGTCATTGGGATTCTTTTGGCCCGAGTGTTGGCTCAGGATCAAATTTTCAAGGTGGGAGAGCTTTACTCTTTTAAGTCGATTGTTTCTTCAACCACCTTTCAGGTGGCTGCTGTCGTGATTGCTTTTGCTGCGGTCTATGTCAAAGTATTTTTACCAGAGACAAATGCCGAGCGTGGTCCACCGCTTCTTCCGAATCACAGTGACACGCATCAGCAGCATAAGCGTGACGAATGTCGCTCTACACCGCTGCTCATGCGTAGCACTTCCTCAATCACAGACACTGTTCTTCTGTTTAAACAGAAGTAAGTGTAGTCTTGACGTTTACGTAGATGATAACTTGCATCTGTCAGCAATCTTTTGACGCAGGTGGCGGTGATAGTATTCTTCTCCAGTCTTGGCGAAGCTGGATTACAGGGTTCGCTGTTGGTAGGCCATAATCAGCTCAAGTTCTTGTCTAATACTTCGTTTTTCGTTCTCAGTATTATTTAAAAGCGACTTTTGGTTTTGCAAAGGACCAATTTGCAGAGCTCATGCTAATTAATGGACTGGCATCAGTGTTTTCTCAAGTAAGCTTTATTCTTAGTCTGCGGGAGATTGAAAACCTTTTCATTTTACACAGCTGCTCATTATGCCAGTCTTTGTACATTTTTTCGGCGAAAAAATCGTTCTGTTTATAGCTATTTCTGCTTCTGCTTCTCATGTAAGTTTTGTCACTTCGTGCTTGTTATAACCAATCCACACACGTCTAATGTTTGTATGCTTAAGGCACTTTTATATGGAGTAGCATGGGCAGACTGGGTAACTGATGTTAATTTATTGATTTTTTTTGTATTAACATCTTGGATTTTTCAGGTGCCATACGTCTGTTCCAGCTTCAGTATCTTTTTTGTCTTGAGCTTCCCTTGCGTAAGTTCTCTATGACCGCTGAGCGTAACTTATTGTTTCTTCTTAACAGATAGGGAGTATTGTATCAAAGACAGCGGAACCGGAAGAACAGGTAACTTCCATCGTTTCATCTCGTTTAGTCTCTAATTTATCTCGAGCAGGGTAAGTTCCAAGGTTTAATTGCGGGTATAAGATCGTTTGCAACTATATTATCACCGCTTGCTATCAGCCCCTTGACAGGTTTAAGATTCTCTGTTCGTTGCTTAAACTTTTGTCTAAAACTTTCTCTTTGTTCAGCACTGTTTCTATCCAAGGACGCTCCTTTCAATTGCCCAGGATTCAGTCTAATCGTTGCTGGAAGCGTAATGGTAAAAAACTTACCATACATTCCAAAATTCCTTTTTTTTCACTTGGTTCTTCACAGGTTGTAGCTCTTGTTCAAGCGCTCATGCTCCAGCCAATACCCCCGCCCCTATCGAAGCCAAGTAAGTTAACTCAAGTGGCAATTGCTTGCGAAGAACAGGTGGCTGCTTGGCCAGAGTTTTAAAAGACAACTCTCTCCCATCGATAGATCGATCACGACAGGCCAAATCATGCCAAAAAAATGCGATGGTTCTTTTTTTGTATGATCATCCAAACTTAGGAACAAAGTTCGTGCGTATGTACTTCGCCTGGGCTCCGAGAAAACGGCCATTCCGTACTGTACTCGCGCCTGACGGGTGTGACGGCTTGCGCTCCACACGCGACGGTCGGTCTCACCCGTCATCTGACGGTCAGTCGGCAGCCCACGCGCCACTGGTACGGCCTGCCGCCGGAATGTGACTCTGGTACGGCCGCCAATTGGACCATTTACTTAATTCTTTATTGGATTTTATGGTTTATTCTGTGCCAGCAGCGCACATGTGTATCCACCTGTCAGGATATGCTTGGGGATACGCTCCACGTGGACACCCACGTCAGCTTGGGTTTCTATTCTCTAGGTTGGTATTCTCTTCTCTTGGAAGCGAGGCAATGGCGCTGTGGGGCAGGGGTTCTAATCGCTGCTCTCTCGCGACGATTTATTAGGGCTTTGGCTCGATCGATCGATCGATCGCAGGGGAAGCGATGGAGAGCGCGGCGCTGTCTCAGCTCGCGGCGAGCGATCGTCGCTCATCAGCTGGTTTGTTCCTGTGATGATTCTTGCGTGGCGGCGCCGGGGATGAGGAATTCGTGGCTGCGCGATCCTGCATTTCGCGATCCTTGGCGAAATATCGTGCGCCGGGCGCTCGTAGGGTATGATGTCGCTGTTCTTGCTCTTTATGTGTGGAAATATTTTTGTTTTCTTCGCTTTCTCGCTTCTTTCCGTGCCTGATGAGCGCTGTTTTTCTCTTTCTTTTCCTAGGTTCCCATGTGCTCCATGATGAGGCACTGAAGCTTCCGTGGATCAGAGCTCTGCTTTTCAGAGAGAAAGGAGAAACAAATGGCTGCTCGGGCTCGAATCGTTGTCGTGTAATCTTCATACTCATCTCTGTCCATGGCGACTGGTGAGATTGATGGCTTTGCTTCGGACCACGAGAGGGAGCTGTACGAGAGAGCTCACGAAGCAGCGAAGGAAGCCCAGCGACAGGGTGATGCTCAGCTACAAGCAGCTGTGGCAGCGGCTGCGGTGTCCACGGTTTACTATCCGGTAGCCACTCCAGTTCGATTTAGCTCGTGGAGCCTCAAGTTCCAGGACAGAAGGTTGGAAGCGGTGTATTGCCGGAAATGTGGTTCCGACTCGGACTTCAACGATCTCGGTCCCGCGGCTTGCGAATTGGCGTTTTGCATCTTGCGGCTTTGGTGGACGATTGATGCTGGCCAGGTGAGTGATCGTTTGGTTTTCTTATCGTCTTTGCATCTCGAGATCATTTGCAAACTTTGTTTTTGTTTCTTTTTTCGGCAGAGCAAAGATGGAGTGGTGATCTTGTCACACGTTTGCGTTGCTGCGTGGTGCATGGCGATGATAACCTCGCAGCTTTTATTCACTAAATGGTGAGGTAAGCTCTCTCGAATAGCTACGAAGTTCTCACGGGGTGCGTGCTCCATCCAGGTACAGGCAAAACAGGAGGCTCTTGCTCTGGCAGTTTGCCATCGTGTTATGGTCTTGGGAAGGTCTTCAACTCTATCATACTAGTAACGTGGGCGCGTCCGTGTTTCGAGAGTTCTGTGGTTTGCTGACAGCGTTCGAATCTCTGCAGAAGCTACTGGATATGGCGTTGGTTCTCCTTCCTCAATGCATTCTTATAAGTTTCTTGTACCGTGTTCCTTTCTGGTAACTCGCTCGCATCTCTGGCCTGTCAGTGACTCACCGACTGGGATTTTGTGCTCTCGCAGTTTGCATGTCCGATCGAGATGCTTTGGATGCGGCTGCCAGCTAGTTGCATCCATAGCCAGCAAAGCTTCCAGTTCCCATCTACTGGGGATCATCGCAGGACACTGCCTCGGCTCGCTGCTAGCTTACATGGTGGACCGGCAGGCACGCACCGACTTTCTAGAATCGCTACCGAGATGGATCCTCGGCGATGCTGTCCAGTGCGAGCGAGGGGATTCGTCTTGGTGGAATTCCTTCTATCCGGAGTTCCTGGAGAAGCCAGAGCCAGCAGCGAAGGAGGGCGAGAATCCAAGAGACAACTTGGAGCGAGCGCTTGCGTACCGAGCGCTGGGCGGATTCGCTGGTGGTTTTGGAGGAGTTTCGGGTCTCAAGTGCGCCAACCCGTCGTCTCTCTCGCCGGCGTCGTCCAGCAACAGCGTGGATCATCCACAGCTAGTTTCGTACTCGTCGGACAACGAGAATGTCACGGCGGGTCTTGAGCAGCTCCCGGATTCGTGGAGCATGGGGAATGTAAGCCAGGGTCCTGATGAGCAAACACTGCAAGACGGTGATCAAGAAGATCGCGAAGAGCATTCGGCGAGCAGCGCGTCTTCACGTTTGGAGTCGAGCTCGTTGCGGAGGAGGTTCTAAGAGAACTGCAAATTTCTTCCTCCGCCAAAGGTTCTTCTTTTTTTTTTTTCCCCTTTTTCTAAAGCCTTGTTAAAAGAGTTTGTACTTTTTATTTTTTTGATCGATCGATTGAACAGATCAAATACAAAAAGTAAATTTCATTTGCTTTTTCTTCTTTCTTTTCCTCTTGTTTTTAGTGCTAGCAAGAATTTCATGATGCCTTTTTTGAAAGACAAGCTCTCAACTTCTGCTCCACTTCAAGGTGGCCTGTACAAATTTCACTTTAGAATTGTATCTAGATTCCGTAGAGCCTAGCTAGAAAATTACAAACAAAAAAGAAGTACAAAAGGCAAAAGAAAAAAAAAAAAAAAAAAAACAGAACAAAAAGAAAGATAAAAGGACTCTTGATATGCAATACCTGGCATTCTCCAGAAATCTGGTTCCAAACCATTCCCATCAATATCCCTGTGTGCAGGTGTCATGTATTTCCCAACAGTCAAGATTACACCAGAGCCATCGTTGAACTCAAACACAGACTGAATCAGGCCCTGCAAGATATGCAAGAAAATCAGTGAAACCATCATTTCTTTTTTTAGTCCTTACTTTCCCAAATGTCCTGCTACCAGCTAAAACAGCTCTACAGTTGTCATGGAGAGCAGCAGCCATCTGAAAAGCACCAGATTTCCAAGCATATTATATTCGTTTCTCTGCACAAACTTACAATTTCACTCGCACTGGCTGTCCGGTTGTTCACTAAAACCTTGACAAAATAGAATGAAACGTGAGCACAACACAAGCCGGTTGGAAGAAACAAAGCTTACGACGAGGGGCGCTCGCAGGAAAGGTTGGCCTTTAGCTACAATACTTTGTAATGACGCATTATTTCTCCTTGTGGTGTATATAACCTGCGCGTTATGTCAAAGCCAGATGGTTTAAAGAGATGATAGATTTTTACTCACGGTTTCCCCGTCGTCCAGAAACAACTTGGCCACTTCAATACCTTCCTGTAAGGTCCACCAGCGTTTCACTTCGAAGCCAAATAAGCCACACTACTCACTTGGACGAGGCCACCCAAGTTGTCTCGCAAGTCAAGAACAAACGATGAAGCACCTGATGCTTGCAATCTCATCAAAGCTGCAACAAGTGCTTTCCTGGTTAGAGGCGAATCAATGTTCCAAGAGTTTCAAGATCAGCTAGTTCTTACCGGTGACCAGGTCCCGCTTTGTCAAGGCATTGAACTCCTTGAGCCGAACATAGCCGCGGCGCTCATTAGCGACATCAGAACGCTCTAAACGGTAGAAAACAGGGCTTCGCAAGTCTTGCTGGCGATAGAGCACGTAACTTTGGACGTCTCCACATTGAGACCGTCGAACCTGGACGTGGAGAAACTCTTAGCGTATCAAGAGAAAAGAAGAAAACATAGAATTCGAACGATACCTCGACTGAAACAGGAGTCCCTTTGCGT